ACACGCCTATTCTGTGAATGAGTTTCCTAGGTACATCCATGTGTACACAGAGCAAAACCCTTTTTTGAGTGATGGGTTTTAATTTATCTCTTCCTCCCCTTCCACAAACTAAATTTCACTAGACCTAGAGGAGGTGAAGTTTTCTTCCTCCTCACCTACCCTAGGAAAGGGACCGCGGTCCTGCCGCACACCCCAACAACAGGGGAGCCTGACCCAAGACCAGCTGGATTCTGCACAGCCTTCTCCTTGCTCCCAGCTATGCATTTCTCTTCCCCTGCCTGCACTGCAACAAAATAGGAGACCAGCCATCTCTCCTAATCCCTCCCTTTGAAACGCTGACAAGCCCTCTCCTCTCAGCCACGTAGGAGAAGATGAGTTTGCTAATCAGCCTCATGTCCTGTATTTAACACCTCTCAAGATTATTGCTCCTTGCCTGGAGGATTAGTTTTGCGGAGCCGTCTTGCTGCAGTGAAACTTCATTCTGGTGGGATAATAAATTGTCTCGTAGGAGAAATCGGAGCGACTGGGGCCTTTCACTCCACTTCGCTGTACCTCGGTTCACGATGGAAGGTATCCTCGGATATAAATAACATTCAGGGCCAGCAATGCTAGCTGACCTTGACTGAAGCAGGCATGAGTGTGAGTGGGCTGTTAAACAGTCCTAGACTTAGAGATGGAAAATGCCCTTTCAGGTCCTCTTAATTAGTCTCCAAGGCCTCGGTGCTGTTGTACATGTTGTATATTTACTAGCAATTACCCAGCTTGGTTTTGATACTATTTCTCGGATTTAAAGCGAAAATACCAAGGCTCACATCCTCACCGGTATGGAAACACCCGACTCCACTGAAATCAATGCGAGTCAGGCACGAATCTAAATAGCTACCAAAGACCAGCAGATGGAAAACTGACCAACGGTTAATTATACTTATCCACTCCCCACCTTTAATTATAATATCATCCCTCTCTGGGGTCATCTTTTGTTAGTCACGTAACAAGTGAACTCTGCGCTACCTAACCCTTTTTGGTGTCCTAGTTCCTTTTCTATTACATCAAGTTGTATTCATTTCAAATTATAACTTTCTTTTTTAAAAGGAATAGTATGTTCTGCGAGCAATAGGCCGCTTGTTTAATGGGCTTATCTGGCCCTGGTAATAAACCATGACATCAATTATGTGCAGCTGTCTTTGACCTGAGATGCATAACTCCCATGGTGACTAATTACAGCACCTAATGGTCAGGTCCACAGCGACACGGAACGGTGCTTAATAAATGAAGTGTGGCACGCTATTTTGGGGACTGAATCTTTTACTATACCTGGAGGTCTCAGCTTTACCTTACCATGGGGACTGGAAAGTACAGACAAGTCATTCCCATTTCTGGGACTGCAAAAAATAAATCTATTTAGGCCCACAGTAGAAGAAAACCCAATATTTTGGTTTTTCCCGTGGTTTTTGCACCATGATTAGCCTTTCTACTGTTCAACCCTGAGGCTGTAGGCATTGTTTTGCTTCTTTTCCCTTAAAATCACACATAGCTTAATAAGTTTGCCTGCACAAGGTTTATTAATGGACTGATTCCTGAGGATATATAATACAGTTGGGGCATGAAAGGGTTGACTGCTGAAGAGCTAATGGGCCCAGTGCTGTAAAGAAGCCACAGAAGTTGCAACCTCTGAGCCTTTCATGACTTCTGGAGGCCAGAGAGGTGAAATCCTGGCTATGCTGAACTCAGCAGTAAAACTCCTGTTGCCTTCAGGTGTGGAAACATTTCGCCCCACAACTTTGGAGCTTACCTGTGGGCTGATGGATCTTCCCAGCATGGAGGAGGTTAAAAACCTCACCAGTACTTTATGATTAAGCAGACATATGATAGATTTTTTTTTTTAGCAGCAGACTGCTCCCCCAAATACAACCCCCAGATATCAAGGCTCTCAGCTGTTTGCTTTAATTTATTACAAATAGAGCAGAACCTTTGCTCTTCCCCAACCTTCCTAAGGGTCAGGCTTGGAAACAGAATCGAATCTGCACAATTAAACATGTCCCTGAAACCTTGACTGAGGAACAGCCTCGCTTCTCAGAATGGGATCAGTGTTTTCCCTTCAGATGCAATAGAGCATTTCCAAACCTCTACTTTTCCAGGGAAATTCAAATCAAATGCAGCTCTCAGAAGCATCTGTACTTTCCCTATAGTTAAGACAAGACACGATGCAGCTTCCCTGGTCACCTGCTTCAAGAGAGTCCCCCAGTCGGTTCATTCCAACAACCGCAGCCCATGATGAGTAAGCTGCTATCCAATGTTACGTCTCATGCCAGTCAGGAGAAAATGGGGACATTTACATTTTGGGAAATGACTTGAGACCAATTCCTCTACCAAAGGGCCTTTTATTAATTCTATTAGTAAATACTTTCCTAATGAATTAACGTGGTTGATGGGCCTTCCTTATCAATGAAAACTTTTAAAATTGAGTTTATGCATGTCACACCTATTTTACAAAGGACGCAGCAGTTAAGTGGTTTGCCCAAGGTCACCTTGTAAGGCAGTGGCAGAATCAATGAGTCCCACGCCTTGCGTTCCAGTGCTAACCACTAGACTTGATGTCTTTTTCCTAGCGTGATATCAGCAGCCACAACAGGGTACCTAATTCAGAAACTAGGTGCATTCAGGACACTTTATCACATGCTTATTCAGACTCAGATTCAAGGTTGCAGGGACCCATTCAACCATGGGACTTCAGTCTAGCTCCTACCCCAGTATTTGGGACCTGGGGGCAAGGGGAAAGGTTCTCATGTGTGTCTGTTTCTATTTTTAACAGCTTAAAAGCAACTTCTGCACCTTTGGGGCCGTCTCTTCCATTGTTCTTTAAAGCATCTGGCTGTGCACTATGCAATGCAAAATTCAGCCTGAGCAAACCTTTGCGGGAGATTCGGCTATCTTCATGCTGTAATAAAACGGTTATGCCAGAAAAACGTAAAAAAACCAGGCAACTTATTGAATCCGTAGCAGCTTCGGCCCGTGTCGGGAGAAAACTCCTGAGTAAGCAACAATCCAGCTGCCATAAAATATGAAAAGAATCGGGATGGTACAAGCTGTTAAATGGTTGGTATGACATAGAAACAATTGCCCTCGGGAAAGGGAAAATTAGCTATTGAGATGAGAGGTGAGATTGTTTGCTGGCATCTGACTCTTGGCACAATATCATTCCAACCTTATGATGGCATAAAGTATGTACCAGGGGCCTAATTTATAAATAATGCAGTCAGGCCCATAGGAAGCAGATGAAATGCCTAACTCCTATTCAATTAATTTGCAACTTAAAAGCTCCTACACTGCAATGCTGGCTCCAGAGCCTTACCTCATGTGAATTGGCATATCTCCATTCAATCGAATGCTGCTGTGCTGGTTTATATCAGCTGAGGATCTGTTTCTGAAGGTGATGCTCTTTAGGGAGCACGTGGGTATCTTGGGAGGAAAAACATTTAGCGGTTAGAGCACAGGCCTGAGAACAATTCCTGGGTCTGCTTTATGTTTTTGTCACTGGCTCACCATATAATGTAACGTTGGGGAGCCATTGATTTTCAAGGTCAGACCTAGAATATGGGTGACTTTGGCTGGAGACACAAATATTGAAGAGCTGATGTGGATGCAAGCAAGAGCCACATTTGGCTGCCGTCTCAAATGAGGGGTGGAAAATGAAGCCAAAGTCCCCCATTCTTCGGTCTCCAAAAGCAGCATTCCTTGGCATCATCCCTGCTTTGTGCTCATCTTCACTAACTAACAATCCTTCTGCCAGTCAGCAACTGGTTTAACATAAGAGAACAAATCATTTGTTTCGGAGTCATAAAACTGCTTGGCACGAGAAGCAATAAATAGTTGGTGAATACTATCCGAGGCAGATCAATCTCTCTGAGCTACTTAGCTTGGCCAAACCTCTCTCTCCATATTCTTGCCTGTCAGATTTATCCCAGGAGACAGAGGGGGGTGGGGGGGTAACTTTCCCACAACCAAGCCCCATTCTCTAATAGCAATAAAGCAATTCCAGTGGGCTTAGTTAATTGAAAGAAAAATGCCTGTGCCCAAGGGGTAGATGTGGTCAGGCAATAGATAGCTCCCACAAGCCAAATATGTTCTGAAACAAACCAGCTAATTAATGGGTTGGATCAGTTGTGGAGAGCGTATTTCAGGAAAAGAGAAAATGCTGGTGTTTGTGTGTTGGATTTTCTTTCCTTTTAATTAATTGTTACTTATTTTATGGCGCGATGGTAGTGCCCGAGAGCTCCAGCCAAGAGCGGGGACCCATTGTGTACAAACGTGTGGTAGGAAACACTTCTAGCCCCACAGACCTTTCAATAAATTTTGCTCTGACGGAAGCACAAGAGCTTGACGTCAGCAAAAGTGCAATTTAAATACAGAGAGGGGGGTTCACTTCACTGGTTTATGGTACTGAAACGGGCTTTCCGAAGCAGGCATTGATGAAGACCATCCTTTGGAGCTACTATGCTTAAATAACAAGCAATGGGAATATACATTGCTGCACTCAGGGCCTTTCAACACTCCTGGCCTGAAATCTTCAGAGCTGCAGCTGAAATGAACTGTAAAACTCCACCAACTGCAGTGCGGTGCTCCTGGGGGCAGACATGGCACAACGGCCTCACCATCCCATCATGCTTGTTGTGGGTGGCATGTCACACAGTAGGAAACAACAGCGGATAAGGACTTACCTCCTCTGCTTGGCAGTGTGGCTGAGGCAGGAACTGGTGTTTATTTTTTAAACTGAAACAATGGGAAGCATTTCAATGAGAAAGTTTCAGCACTTCCCAAAGTTGATGTTGAACCTGCTGCATTAGGTATTTAGATAGAGGTAATCACTCTAATAAGCTCATGATCTAGCAATTACACTTACTAGAGTATTTGCAGTATTTCCAGTGAGAAGTGCAAGCACTAAGGATAATTGTATAGCAGAAGCATATTTTAAGGGTGTTAAATGCATACAGAAGGCAGATGCATAGGAAGCCATGTTAAGGATCCAATATCTATTTTCTTGCAAAGCCACTGTTTTATTGTTTTACAGACTACAATGTTGTACTTCCATTTCTCTTGAAGTCAGGATGTTTTATTGTGCAGTAAAAATGTAAAATAGCCATTACATCACTGTGTGTTTTGACAATTCCTCTTTACAAATTTGCATTACATTATTCTAGACCCATTTTCTCAGTTTATACAATTCAACTTAATCAAAATTGTTTTGCAAACTACTTCGCAGAGAGAAAGAAAAAAGAAGGGAGAGGGAGGGAGGGAGGGATGAAGGGAGAGAGAGAGGATAACCTAGGAAACAAGTATGCCAGCTTACAAAAATAGACTAGAACATTTGGAGATTACAGGTATGAAAAAGAGAGACCAGTGGTGGAGAATATGAACTAGGGTAGCTTATCTGAAGAACCAACACTTGAATAAGGAAGAAACTAGATGGATGAAGAGATCTTTTTTTAAGTAGTCCTTAATTACAAGGTAAAAATGGAAGAGAGACTAGAACGTGCTCCGAATCGCTGAAATGTTCTCAGATGTGGGTGGAGACAGCAAGCACTGCAGAAGACCAGCGTTTTTTTTGACTGGTACGGTGGGCTGTGAATAGCGTGCTCGGAGTAGGGGGTTCCTTGGGGAAAGACAGGCCGAGTGTACATGGCTGTCCTCCTCCCCCCGGTCCAACGAAAGGGCAGCTTTAAATTCCATGCGGTTCCTGCTGCAGCGTGCTTGGGGAGCTGCTAGTGGACTGCGACTACCTAGTGCTGCCCTACACTTTGCGAAGACAAAATCCCAGACTAAAGCAAGTGCTATGAGGAGAGCACAACTCAACAGCCCAGTTCACGTGTCTCACAACGGAAGCAGAAAAGCAGTCTACATGCACGCTGACTGACCAGATTTTTTTAAATGCTTCCTGATTAAAACCCAAATGCCCAAAGTCTTCCATCCTGAAAGGATCTGTCATACATAAAGCACCTACATTATTGCTAGAGCCAAAGTTAACATTGTCAGAAAGCCAGATAGGTCTGGTGAGCAGTTTATATCTGTGCTGGGTCTGAGTCCAAGGTCTGCACCTCAGAGGACTGTATAAAGCACAAGCAAATGAGCTCTGCTCAGTGGTGCCAGGTCATTGTTTGGAGGTACCGTCCTCCCTCAGGCCTTGAAGCAGCTTAGGGCTAGTGGAACAGAGAATGGCTACAGCACAGCAACTCCCAGGGCTGCTGTTGTACATGGAGGATTTGCTCATTGGATGCAAGTTACTGTGGACCTGCTGATCCAGCCTTTCCTGAACACTCCCTTTGCCCCCCCAAAAGGGCACAGACCCCACATCTATGGGTGACTTAACCCTACACTAATTAAAAGCAGACAACAAAGGGCTAAATTCTGTTTCACCCACTAGATGTCTTGGGTGTAGCTGCTGGCAATGTCCTGGCTTGAATGGCAAGGACCAGGGAGGCATCCTATTTCACCTGGAGAGATGCACAGTTCTCAACTTCTTAAATACACTTTCAACTTCCCTTTGCAGAACGACTCAGCTGTGTCAGCCTGTCATCCTAATTTCCTTACAGTAGAGCCCCACATCTTGGTCCTTACTGTCAAAAAATACTGTTTTCCTCTGGTATGTTCGTCAGTGCTTCTGCAAAGTCTGTGTTCCTTATTTGTTAGTCAATACCTGACATATGTACATGTATAAAGAGAGCCACAGGAATGACCGATTGTAGAATCAAACAGTCGACAAAGCAGCCATCGTATGGTGTGCTGTGAGCAACACAGTTTTAAGAAGTCTTGTGCTGCTTGCGTACAGTGAAACCTGCTTGTAGCTTCCCTAGCAGTCCTGGTCCTTTTCAGCCACCCCTTTAAATCATCACCAGGGTTTCCAGAATGATTTTGTTTTACTTCTACTTAAAGCCCAGCTTCAGGGAGGTGACTGATTTCTGCTGATCCTGGAGGTGGTTTCACAGGTTTCATTGTACTTGAAACTTCACAGCTTCCACAGAAATATTCAATGCGTATGTGTACCAGTTTAGCAGAGTACAGAAGTGAAACGGTTTTCATTCCTGCATAATTATGCTGACAGAGAAGAGTGTCCTCTACCAGAACTGGGGTCAACAACTTTCCAGACCTCATTTTTTCTAAAGCCGAATCATTAACTGCCATAAAAATAATGGTAAAAAAAAATCTGGGCTTCAGTATTTGTAAGAAATTGTCATAAACTTCTGATAGCAAAATACATATGAAATCTTTTATAAAAATCATACACTCAGTAGTTACACAAAAGGCTTCTGTGTTACACCTACTAGCTTTGGTAAAAAAGCTCATCCACCAACCAGTGACAGAAAGTTCCTCTGGGAATTACATCCAATGTGCCCCTCTCATGCTGCTGCAAATGGCAATTAACTCAGTTCAAGACAATGGAGTTACAGCCACATATAACTGAAGACAGGAGAGAATAAGGTCTTAAAGGGACAAAGGTAAGGTTCACCCCTGTACCCGCAAGCTGGGCAGACCCTGTGCACTAAACAAGTCCTTCGGGATTTAAGAGGACTTATGTATGTAATACACAGACCTTTTGCAGAGGTGAATTTCACCCATGAAACTGATCCCACATAAATCAATGACACAACTCCCTTTGAGTTCAAGCACAGCAAGATCAGGTGTAATATGCTAGACTACAGGAAAGCGCGGTCTTCTGATTATTGTGTAAGAATGAGTGAAACTACTATCTACCAACAGACATCCTCAGCTCCTGGGCTCTGCTAGCTCTCTGGTGCCGTCTTCCTCATTCTCATCTGAACAGGATAAGCTCAGCGCGCTGATTACAGGATGGATCCATGATGTTGTCTGTGTTACATGGCTGAAGAGAAATGAGAAATGCCATTAGCAACCTAATAAATCTTGGAAACAGGCAACTCCATAAGGATGCTCCACCCCTTTCCAGAGGCCCCAGCATCTTACCAACTGAGACTGCCAAGAAGCAAATTCACTAATTCCTAAAGGGGTAAATCCAATGAGAGGGAATGCCCAGACTGAGCAGAAAAAAGTCAAATGTGGGGTCCCAAACTCAGCTGTTCTGGAATCCTTATGCTAACAAATTGCCCCAGCTACTCACATGGGCACAGGATGCAGACTGAGCCTTCAGTGATGCTATTCTAATAGCTGGAAGAGTATCAACAGCCTCCACAAACTTCATTAATTTCTATTTAGTGCGTTTTGCAGTTTTCCCAAAGTTTTAGGTGCTACAGAAAGTTAACTAGAATGCAGTACTGTGGTTTTGGCAATCAGAATGGAACAGGACCAGTGGTTACCATTTATGAAGTAACAAGAACTGGCTCACTCTAGGAGGCCTGATGTACCATTGCTATTAGACAATTTTTAGATGTCTATATTTAACAAGAAATATGCTTAGAGCTGCATGCCGAACCACTGAAGAATTAACAGTCATATTTTACAGGCACTTTATGTTTAACCATGAGTGTGTGCACATACGTATTTACAAACCTGGCTTTCTAAAGGACAGCATCTTTGCCTCCTGTAGAGGGTAAGGGGGATGTAGAACCAGGTCCCCCCTTCTGCTGGCTGAAAGGCAGGTGGGTCCTTCCTCTTCCACCACCATTTTACTCCCAGCAGGTACATGCATGCAGTGATTCTGTTCTACCACAGGGCAGAACAGAATCCCAAACTGTGCACAAGTGCCACAACCTGCAGTTAGGTTGCTGCAAACGTGCCCCTGAAGCATGGAAAGCTAAACAGGACCAGGCCCCATGTTCTTTATCCAAGCACCCCTACCAGAAAAGGAACTCAGTCATGCTAAATCCAGATACTATATATCACATCACAGAAAGATCCATATGATTCACACAGGTTATTTGGGAACAAAATAAATGTATGCTCCCCAGCTACTTTAGGTTTTTTTTGCAAGTGCTGTGGCTAAAGAGCTTTGACACAAACAGTCGGATGGGATAATCCTAGATTTGCTGGTTCCTGTGTTAGAAATGTTTCCTCTGGTTTGCGTTACAGGGGCATCTGTAGAAGTGAGAAATTCCAATCTACTTGTAAGCTTTGCCTATTTGAAGGACCTCTGTCCTTTAAAGTGAGAAGCTGCTGTCATTATGAAAAGGCTTTTGAAATGGCAGCGAAGCAAATTCCTAGAGGTAAAACTTTCCCCATTTGCAAATGTTCTTGTGGCAAAGATCCATTCAACCACTTTTCAAGGGCACTTGAGTAGATTTTAGATGTACTTAAAGCTTTTTATGTTTTCAAGCAAGTCATCCTTGTTGGACAGTAGCCAAGTTTATTGTGAGAAAACAGAAACATTTAATCTGGGAATATGTCAGCAGTTTATTTAGTCTTTTTAATATTAGCAAATTGCAAGGCAAATTTTATAGCTTGTACAAACAAAACAAAAGAACACAGGCTTTATTTTATTGGCAGAGAAATGGCAGCGAATTATTTGAATCCCATTATAATTACTCTCCTTATGGCTCTTCCTTCCCAGCATCAATGCAAGGAATACTTTCTTTTATAGAGAGAATTTAGGGCACTCTCTTAAGAAAAGCAAATGTCTCAGAGACGATGTAAGGATGAGCCGAGGCAGGATTAGTTTGTGCACCTTTGCTAGACTTTGAAAAACCCAGCTGGCGCTAACACTTGCCTCAATTGATACAACTCACCCATCATTTCAGTTGCATTAGTTGAAAAACTCCCCAAATCCATGTAATGCTCTGTAGAAGCTTTTCTTTTCATGCTACTGTGTAGAGAAGTCAGAAGGGGTGAAATGGGCACATCTCCAGGATCTTCCTGACTAAAATAAAAAGCCTCCAGCCCACGCGTCTAACCATCCACTGTGAGTTGTGGATAATGAAATCTTGTGCAAGGCCTGTTTGCTTGAGGTTTGTCCAGGAGTCAGGATGTAACCCTGAACCATCAATCAGCCAAACCTCCACACTAAGCAGACTCATTTAAGTGCCAAATGAGCTCTGCCAACTAGGATTCAGCTGTATTTAAACACAGAGAGCCAAATTCTCAGCTCAGGTGAAGGCTATTGCTACCTGGGTGAATTGTGTGGTGTCGCAAAGGCAAATCGCTGCTGCTGTAGGCACAAACACAGCAACAATGGCATCTGTCTTCCTCTCACTCTTAATAACCGCCAGCCCACCCTGTTTAACATGCAACAGTGATCTTACAGAGCTATTCACCTTCTTCTCCTTGATTTTGGATTTCCCAAACTGAACTGGCAATGTAAAATGCAGGAGCGCTTAACTCAAGATTACTGGTGCTTGACAAAGCTTTAACTGATCTACACATGAACGAAAATTATTGCAAAACCATGTGAGCATTGCAGCTCCTGCTGACTGCCTTAAGGCCAAGGACTGAGGACAGGAAATCACATTTCAAAGCCTTAACCTTTGATACTTACACTGTTGCTATTGAAACACCCTGGGAAAGAAAAAAAAAGCAGGTAGGAAAGGTTATTGCTCGCAGCAAATGTGTAGGCTGTACAATTCCATTGCCTTCATCATCCAGTAATACCGGAACATTACACTGACTTCCCTCCCCGATACCTCGTACAAGCCCTATTTAGTTCTCTACTCAGGCATCCAGGGGCCAACCCTGATATTATCATCCTCACACACACTCAACCACCTGACCGTGGAAGCCCTGGGACACAGCCAGGGGGTGATGTGGGGATACTGTACCGGGATGCATGTCGCCTGCAAGGGGCACAGCATGCTGGGGAGCGTGCTGCACTGCTATGCAGAGACCTTGGAAGTGGGTCAGGCCAGAGAAGAAGTGGAGCTATAGCCCTGGTGTCAAAGCTATGTGTATAGTACCACAGCCCACCACCAGCATTTGCCCTTTCTCTTGCAAGCAATCGCAGTCCACAGTCTGTTTGTTGGGCCATGCACGGCTCTGCAGGATTTGGATTAACTGCTCCCTCTGTCTCCTCCTGTTCTGCCTCTTCTTTCAGTCCCCGCCACAACCCTTTATGCTCTGAATGACGTCCTGCTTTGCGTACACCAGTCACCTTCTTCTTCCTTCAAATCCCACCTCTTTTCAAAAGCCTCCTACACTAAATGCCTCACTCATAGTCCCTCATGCCACTTCTTGTCTCTGGCTCTTTCCTAACATTTCATCTTTCTCTGAGTAGCTCATAATGCTTAACACTCATGGACAGACAAGGTTCACACATTCACAGAAGTTTAGGGCTGGAAGGGACCTCATGAGATCATCGGGTCCAGCCCCTCCGCTCTGGGCGGGAAAGACTGCTGGGGTCAAATAACCCCAGCAAGGTGTGTGTCCAGTTTCCTTTTGAAGATCTCTGGGGTAGGTGCCTGCACCACCCTGCTGGGAGTCTATTCCAGAGTCTGGTCACACAAATTGTAAAGAAGTTTTTCCTTATATCCAGACGGACACCTTTTAGGAGTTTACGACCATTGCTCCTGGCTTTCCCCTGGGGCACTTCGGTGAATAGTTGTTCGCCTAGCCCCTGATGCTCTCCCCTGATATATTTGTAAGCTGCCACCAAATGCCACCCAAAGTCTTCTCTTTTCTAGGCTGAACAGTCCTATATCTGTCAGCCTTTCCTTGTACGGCTTGCTCTTCAGGCCTCTAATCATATGAATGGCTCTTCTCTGGACTCTCTTTCAGTTCTTTGGATAAATCCGATATATTTTATTAGACCAACTAAAATAGCTGGAGAAATTCTTCTTTGCAAGCTTTTGGGTACAAACACCCTTCTTCAGGCCGAGGAAGTCTGCAGTAGCACTCATGGATAAATCCTGGGTCCTGGGCAAAGCCTATGGCACACTGCAGATGCAAGGTGAATTATCCTTTGCCATTACCATGTAGCAGCGGAGCATCCATGGAACCAGAAAGGCTTACAGACACCTTGTGGCAGCGGAGACTGGAAAGAGCTGCCCAGTCCCCCGAGGGACCCCCCGGAAGGCTGGCTTACCCCGGTGGGAACCCCGAAGATCTACCCGCCGACAGAGAAGGACATGGACCGGCGAGGTACAGCTGCACTGCTTTATCAGCTCCATCTCCATCCGCCTGGGCAGCAACTGGCGGATGACATCAGGGCAAGGTGACCCGACACCAGGTTTAAGGGCACCCAGGATATGCCATGATGGGAGAGGAAAAGCCTAGGTCGGGCCAGCAGGCTCTAGGGCTGCACGGTGCATGCAGGGCCAAGGCTCGGCCACAGCAGCTGTGGGGAACCAGATTCCCCCTTCTCTGCCTTCCCCCACCCTTTCCCTGGAGAGGGCACCAGCGGGGACCAGGCGTTTTCTTTCTTTTTTGCGTTTGGCATTGTCCCTCCTGTTTAGCAGGGAGCCTCACCTGAGCAGAGGAAGGCCCAATGGACCAAGCTTAAAGCAGGGCCCAAGGGCAAAGGCTGAGAAAGCCCTCATTTACTTACCTGTCAAGACGTCCAGGAGAAAGGGTCAACCGACCCTGGCCCCTGACTATGAGGGGAGTATTTGTTTCAATCTTCAGAATTTCTTCTGGTTAGTCCTTTTTACAAGCAATGCTTCATCAGCCAGCAGGCAGAAGCAGCAGACACGATTACCTCCCCAGGTGGCAATGGGGTAAAGGGCCAGATGATGCACTCGCACCATTTTCTTTTGGGCTGCTAGGGCTGGTGCAGAGGCCAGGAGCAGCAAAGGACTGGCTTGGAGTCACCACCATCTATGGTTGGCAAGTGGACAGGGTGTAGGGGAGGCAGAGCACCAGGTCCTTTGCACCCACACACGTGAGTAACCCCATGGGGAGCCTGTCGCGTACATCACTGGACCCTCCCAATTTTTCTGTACGACCAAGGCGTGGCAGGAAAGAAGTGGCGGTTCCCACTGTCAT